ACATTGTCTTGGATCATCATATTGATCAGAATAGTATAAGGCAGCTGGGTGGTACAGGGGATAGAGCTCCGGGCGTAGAGTCAGGAAGACCTGAGTTCAAATGTGGCCTTAGACACTTACTAGCTGTGTGACCCTGGGCAAGTTACTTAACCTTGTTGCCTCAGTTTCCTCTTCTATAAAATGAGCTGGAAAAGGAAACAGCAAACTACTCCAATATCTTTGCCAAGAAAACCCAGATGGGGTCATGAAGAGGAGTCGGACACAAGTCTTTCACACTTGATGGTCATTACAATATTGTTGTTACTGTGTACACTAATCTCCTGGTTCTGCTAACTTCAGTTTGCATCAGTTCATATAGGTTTTTCCAGGTTTTTCTGAACCATCCCCCTAGTCATTTCTTATCTAGCACAGTAGTTTCCAATCACAGGGATAAGCCACAACATTTTCAGCCATTTCCCAATTGATAGACATCCTTTCAGTTTCTAATTCTTTTGCCACTACAAAAAAGAGCTGCTATAAATATTTTTGTATAGGCTGTTTTTTCTTTTTCTTGGATCTCTTTGGGATACAGACTTCATATAATGTTCACTTTAAAAAAAATTTTATAAATTGGTCTCATCAAGCAAAAGACTGTATGAATGGACCTGTTTTCTGATTCATGGACACCCTCATCCACTTGACTGAGACATGGACATTAAGCAGTATCCTTCCAGAATAATCAGTTATAACTTTCAGGACTATAGATGAGTTATTCAAGTGTAGCATATTTCATCATGAATCATATCAAATTGTGGTGGGTCGTTGTGTTGATCAGAGTTACTAAGTCTTTCACAGTTGATTATCTTTACAATATTGCTATTACTGTGTAAATTGTTCTCTTGGTTCTGCTTGCTTCATTTTGCATGAGTTCCTACAGGTCTGTCCAGGTGTTTCTGACACCATTCCCTTCATTTCTTAGAGCATAATAGTGTTCCATAACATTCACATACTGTATAACTTATTAAGCCATTCCCCAATTGATGATTATCGCCTCAGTTTCTAGTTCTTTGTCACCACTAAAAGAGGTGCTGTAAGTATTTTTTGTACATATGGGATTTTTCTTCTTTTAGTCGGGGGATGAGAAATAGGGAACAGGAATCTCTTTAGGGTATAGCCCTAGTAGCAGCATTGCTACATCCAAAGTTAATACACTACTTAATAGCCTCTTGGTCATAGTTCCAAATTGTTTTTTAAAATGATGGTACTACTTCATAGTTCCACTAACAGTGCATCAGTGTTTTTGTTCTACATCCCCTTCAGCATTTATCATTTTCCTTTTTTATCATCTTAATCAGTCTGATGTGTATGAAATGGTACCTGAATCATTTTAATTTGCGTTTCTCTGTTTATTAATAATTTAGAGCATTTTTTCATTTGGCAATTGATAGCTTATATGTCTTCCTCTGAAAACTGCCTATTCATATCCTTTGTCCATTTATCAGTTGAGGAATGTCTCTTATTCTTATCATCAATTTGACCCAGTTCCCTATATGTATTAGAAATGAGATCTTTATCAGAAAAACTTGCTGAAGAGGTCATCCCTCCCTCCCTCCCCAGTTTATTGCTTTTCTTCTCATTTTAGCTGCTTTGGTTTTGTTTGTGCAAAAACTTTTGAATTTCTTATTAATCAAGATTTTTTATTTTATCTCTCATGAACCTCATTATCCCTTGTTTGGTCATAAACCCTCCCATTCTTCATTGGTCTGATAGGTAATTTTTTCCTTGCTTCACTAATTTATTTATCCTTTATAGCTAAACCATGCACTCCTTTTGAGCTTATCTTGGTATAAAGTGTGAGATGTTGGTCAGTGCCTTGTTTCTACCAGACTACTTTACAGTGTTCCTATAGGTTTGTCAGATAATAATTTCTTGCCCAAGTAGCTGGGATCTTTGGGTATATCAATCACTAGATTACTGTGTTCATTTGCTTCTGTGTCTGATATACCTAATCTGTTCCATTGATCAGCCTCTCTATTTCTTATTCAGTAACAAATTGTTTTGATGATTACATCTTTGTAGTTAATTTGAATTCTGATACTATGAGGTCCCCTTCCAATTTTTTTTTATTAATTCCTTTGATATTCTTGATCTTTTGATTCTCCAGGTAAGTTTTGTTATTTTTCTTCTAGCTCTATAAAATAATTTTTTGGTAGTTTAATTAGTATGGTACTTAATAAGCAAATTAAATTAGTATTGTTATTTTATTATATTGGCTCAGCCTACTCATGAACAATACTTCTCTAGTTATTTAGATCTGTCTTTATTTGTGTGAAAAGTATTTTGTAATTTTGTTCATTTAGCTCCTGTATGTGCATTGGGAAGTAGACTCCCAAGTATTTTATACTGTCTGTAGTTATTTTAAATGGAATTTCTCTCTCTCTTTTTGCTGGATTTTGTTGGTAATATACAGAAATGCTGGTGATTTATGTGGGTTTATTTTCTATCATGCAAGTTTGCTGAAGTTGTTAGTTGTTCTAATTAGCTTTTTAGTTGACATTAGGGTTCTGTAGGTAAGCTATCATATCATCTGCCAAGAGTGATAGTTTTGTTTCCTTAGTGCCTATACTTCTTTAATTTCTTTTTATTGTCTTATTGCTATGGCTAGCTTTTTGATAATGCAATTCTTGCTTCACCCCTGCTTTTCTTGGAAAGGCTTCTAGCTTATCCCCTTGACCAGTAATGCTTGCTCTTGATTTTAGACAGGTGACATATATCATTTAAAGCGAAGCTCCTTTTATGCTTATTTTTTTAGAGTTTTAACAGGAATGAGTATTGTATTTTGACAGGGTTTTTCTCCATATATTGAAATAATATGATTTTTGTTGTTTATGTTATTAATGTAGTTGATTATGCTTATAGTTTTTCTAGTATCAAACCAACTCTTCATTTCTAGTATAAATCCACCCTGGTCATAGTATATGATCTTTGTGATATTTTTGCTGTAATCTCCTTGCTAGTATTTTATTTATTTATTTGTTTATTTTGCTCTTTTAAAGCATCTTTTTAAAAACCTCTTGTAAGAATTCTTGTTGGGCTTGTGTCTAATCTGCATTTTTCATTGAGGCTCTGCTTGTAGATCTTTTCAGATCATTGTCTTCTTCTGTGTTAATGTCTTGAGCTTCCGTGTCACCTTAGTAGCTCTTTATGGTAGTCCATCTGTTCTTTGATTTGCTCATTTTTCCAGCTTACTTTGCACTTTATGTTACTGTTGGGCTCTGTTTACTTCTGGGGGTGTGGGGGATGTCTTTTCTGAGCCTTTGTCTTCTTATGTCCTTCTGCTGTTTTCATAGCTCAGCCTAGGGGTCTGCAGGGTTTTGGTTATTCAAAGGTGATATGATCTGCAGAGAAGTGTGTTCACTGCCCTCCTGGCCTGAGTTCTGCAAGTTGCTGACCCAGGTTTAGGTCTGTTGGCTTATATGTAGTTGAGTTTCAGTAAGACTGCTGCTAGAGTCAGTCACTGTTAGCTTGCTAGGAGCATCTGCAGGTTCAGAGCAACTGAACTTCTGGCTCCATTGTGGTCTTGTTTTCCTGCTCAGGTTTTTCCACTGCAGGGTTGTATGGGGGGCTAAAGGCCAGAGCTGAGTCTCCCCTCTGCTCTTAGGCTCAGAGTCCCACAGCTCTGGTTCTGGAACTTGTTCCTTGCTCTGTACACAGTCAGAGCCTCTCTTGTTCACAACTATTCCTCTCTGCCCTGGAACTGTAACCTGAACCTGGGTAATGGGCAACAGAGCTGCCAGCTGGCACCTGTTCCTGATCTCAACACTTGTTCAGGGATCCCTGGGATTTCCTTCTGCCCCTGTTTTCTAGTGCTAGTGTTCAGTCTCTGCCCTTTTACAGCCCTTGAGTGCTAGAATGCTCCCCACTACTGTTGCTGCTGCCTCCTTTGCTGTTCCTGGCCAGCCCCCAACCCAATGTCCACAGACCTCTCTAACTTCCTGAGCTTCTCTGGGTTGGAGAAATGACTCACTGTTGCTTTTTCTTGGCTTCCCCAATCAGTTTGGCATATTTTCTAGCTTGCTGTAGAGGAGATGTGTGTTGGGTGAGCTGTGCAAAAATGCTGACTCTTACTCTGCCATCTTGATTCTACCACCTTTCCTCTGATAAAATTTTAAAATGTATACATATATGTGTGACTCATTGCAGTCACATTGAGCAACTGGATTTACCAGAGATATTTTTTTAATTACTTATTTTTCAGCTTTTTAAAAAGTTTATCAGATACTCCTTTTAACATAGCAGTAGGAACAATTTCTTCCTGTGTATTTATTCATCTTAATAAGAAAGCTGAAAAATCAGAAAAGCATGTTAATCTTTCCCTGTCAGATTTACCAAGAACATAAAGAGCAAGAATAGTTTTTAATATAATTTTTGTTTCTCTTGTTCACCTGGCTGAAAACTGAAAAATACATATTTGCTTTGTTAAAGTAACTAAGTGTACTCTTGTTGTAAGGAAAATCTCCACAAGGTGTTAAGATAACTAGATTAGTTCAGTCAAACAATTATTTAAATAATTAAAATATTAATATTTAAGATATTTGATCTTGTTAGTGAAAATTGTCCTGGTATAGCCTGAAACTACCACACTCATCTATAAACTGTTGAATTCAAAATGGTTTATTTTCCAGTGACTTTATTATGATAACATTTCATGAAAGTCTTAGATTTTCTTCAAACTAGAAGGGACTTAAGAGATTAATTTAATACTATCGTGTTACATACAAACATATTAGAGGTCAATATAGGTGTCACAGAGTGATTTAGCAAAAGAGTTGAGACTGAGCCTAGGATACTTTCTATTCTTCAGTGTGGCTTGTTTAATTGACAATAATTCTGTGAAATGATGTAAATCAGGGCATTATTATGTAGGATAGGCCTATATAGTGACATCCTTTAAAATGCTTCTATGTAAACTATAAACTTTTATTGGCATTATTGATTGTACTTATTTCTTCTTATTTCAGGTGATATTGGAAATTATTATTATGGACAGGGTCATCCTATGAAACCTCATAGGATCCGCATGACCCATAACCTGCTGCTAAATTATGGCTTGTATAGAAAAATGGAAATATATGTAAGTATCACCTTTTCACAAGAACATTCATAATTGAAAACTTAATTGAACTACTTTGAAATGAGCACAGTTTTGACAAAATTAGTGATAACAGTGGTGAGTGAGAGAAAAATATCATCAGTGTCTTTTTTCCTCTTTATCAGCCTTCTTGGAACCTCTGGGCCTTAAATAGTCTGGTCCCTCATATTTAAAGAATCACATTTTAATAGCAATCCATTAACTCAATTACTTAATAAAATGTAACAGTAGAAAGGAATAAAAATTATGCAAAAAACATCAAGCAGGTTTGTCAAGTACCAGCTGCTCTATTCATGTTCTTGCACAGAATGCTGAGGAAAATACAAAAGATGCGAGAGTCTCTACTCTGCTGTAACACATTGCCTAATTAGGAAGACAAGCCAAAACCACAACATTTGAGTTAGAAGGTCCATCACATTTCTACCTAGGCCTTTATTTTTTTACAGGTTAGTAAATTAAGGTTCAGAGAAAGAAAGTGATGTGCCCAAGTTAAGTGGTGGTATGAAGTGACTGGATCCCAGGCTCCACTGTGCCACATGACCTTAGATCCTTGAGCAGTCTTTTCTTTTCCACCCTGATGTTACCGTGTCAAAACCCACACAGACCATTAAAGTCGGAAGGGACCTCGGCAAGCATCTAGTCTGGTGTGTACATTAATCCCCAGTACAATATATCCAACTGCTAATATCTGTCCTCTGCTTGAGGACCTCCACTGAGAGAATACCCACCATATTCCACTTTTTGGATAGTCTGTTAGAAATTTTTCCTAATATCAAGCTTAAATTTACCTTTTTACAAACCTTGTTGTTATTGCTGGTCCTACCCACTGGAGCCAAATGGAGCAAGTCTAATCCTTGTTTTATGTGATAGCTCTTCAAATACTTGAAGACATATATTATGTTCTGCCTCAGTCCTCACTTAATGTTAAACATCCCCATTTCCTTTAAGTGATGCTCTTATGACACCTAACCCAAGACTCTTTACTATTCTGGTAGAGCAACTTTGGACAGTCTCTATTTTATCATTATCCTTCCTAAACTATTCCATATGTGGTCTGATCAGGGAAGAGTATAGAGGAACCATCATTTCCTTCCTGGAATATTTGCCCTTCTTAATGTAGCCCAGGATTGCATTAGCTGTTTTGATTGCTATATCCCACTGTTCACTTGTGGAGTTTTCACTTCACTAAACCATGCTTCCCCCATTTTGTATCTGTGAAGTTGATTTCTTGAACCTAAATGTAAAACTTTACATCAATACTGAATTTCATCTTTTTAGATTCAGCCCAGTGCTCTATCCAGCCAATCAAGAGTTGTTTTCTTTTAAGATACTGAATGTCCTTCATTGTTAGCTATTCTTCCTCATCTTTGTGTCATTTGCAAATTGATAAGATGTCATCTATATCTTTATCCCAAGACAAAAATACCAGATAGGGCAGGGCTAAGCACAGGTCCCTGGGACACTTGACTAGAGATTTCCAAGTTGACTAATACGTTAATGACCGCTCTATGAATCCAATCATTTAACTGATTCTGAATCTAATTGTATTGCCCTCTAGTGCACAGAAGAATAGTATGAGCTGCTTTATCAAGTGCTTTACTAAAATCTATGTAAACTCTTACTATGTCCTCGGCTCCACCAGTTGAGTAATTCTGTCAGAAAAGCAAACGCAGCTATTTTGGCATGACCCATTCTGGATGATGCTATGCTGGGTCTTAGTAAAAACCACTTTATTTCCTAGGTGGCTACCAATCATCTCTTTAATGCTCTGTTCTAGAATTTTCCTAGTTATCAAAGGTAAGCTCTCTGGTCTATAGTGTATAAATCATTCTCTTTTGAAAATCAGAATATTACCCTTCTCCAGTCTTTTCAGGTCCTCCTGCAGCCTTCCTTTCTTTCAGATACTGTTGACAGTGGCTCAGTCATCCAACCTTCCAGCTCTTTTAGTGCCAGAGCATGAAGTTAGTTCATCTGAGCCAGGTAACTTGAATTTAGCCATGGATACTTAACTGGGTGTTCCTTTACTTACTTTGGGTATCAACTCCCCATTAGACATTTTTGTTCAAATATTTATATTGTAGAGATCACTTCTTTTTTGGGGGGGGGGGAGCAGGTGGCCTAGGCAGCTGGGGTTAAGTGACTTGCCTAGGGTCACACAGCTAGTAAGTGTCAAGTATCTGGTCTGAGACCTGATTTGAACTCAGGTCTTCCTGACTCCAGGGCCAGTGCTCTATCTAGCTGCCCCTGAGATCATTTCTTTAACAGAGATAACAGACATGGAAAAGAACTGAGCATCTCTGCCTTTTCTCTATTGTCATTAGACTGTACTATACTAATATTACCTGGCTTTGCTGTGATCTTCTAGACATATCTTTTTATAACTTGTCATTTAGTTAGTGAGTTCCGTGGTCATTTGCATTGTTCTCTTTATAGCTCCTATTTTTCCTTCTCATTAGAATTGTTTCCCTTTGTTTATTTTCAGGAATTTCATTCTTAAGTGTTTCTTGATCCTCCTGAGCTGACTTCCCTTCTGTAATTTTGGTCCATGGGTTCTGGAACCTATCCTTCAAAGCCATTAACCCTTTGAAAATCTGCTTTCCTAACATATAAGGTGCATGCCAGACTATGCCTAATGTTCCTCTCCTGCATCACACATACTACTAGGAGGAAGTGGTCACTTCCCTACAGGGGTTCCCATCAATTCTACTCTAACACCCAGTTCCTCTGTTCAATCATCTCCAGAATTTAATTTCCCCTTCTTGTTTCCTCTACTTTTTGAATGACAAAATCATCATTAAGGCACATCAAAAAAATGACTAGCTGTGCTTTTTGGCACAAAGAGCTCTAGCAAATGTCTGCATAATTCAAGTCTTCAGTCACCACTGTATCATGTCTCTTATATCAGAGTTATTTTCTATTTTGTTGAAATTTTCATTTATTTCCTCTTTCCATCCCCGTGTTCTGTAGTATTCTTTAATGATAAATTTACTTTGGTTTCTCAATCCATTGTTCTTCAGCTAAATGCTCTCTGCCATACTTTCCCTACCCTGTTTCCAGATTTGTAGATTTCCTCACATAAGTATAATTTTTTTTATATACAACACTAACATTGTCTCCTTTCCTTTCCTTTTAAATAACTATGCCATAACTTTTTATTAAGGCATAATCCATCCAGAGTACATTCCAGGCATTTTATCTTACCAAATTTCAGTCAGATACCCATGAGGTTCAAGTTTATTTCCTTCTTGCTTTAGGACATCTACTTCCTCTTACATCTTATTACTTAAACTTTGGACTTTTGTGTATACATGTTTGAGATTATCAGTTTACAGCAGTTCTGCTTTTTTCTTTGCAACCCCAGCACCTAGCACATTGCCTGGCATATTGTAGACTTTTAATAATTGTTTGTTGATTAGTGTTTATTACTACTGGCTCCTTTCTTAGATTTTGTCTCCTTTGACTTTGTGAGTGTCTCAGATCCTATTCTTTCATTGTAATTACTCAGTAGTATCTAGGGTGCTGTGTTTCAAGGGCAGTTTTCTTTCCCCGATCCTCTTATCATCTGACACAAAATTGAATGATTTGACCTCAGTGAAGTTCCTCAAAAATCTTCCCATTCTGAAACACACATGATAAAGAGGGATGTATGGTAGAAGGAAGGCATTAAGGCCAGAACAAGGTCTCTATTCCCAGCTTGAGGATGGAGTGGGATTTTAGACAGACAGAGGAGAAAGGCATTCCAGGGAGGGAGACAGCATGATAAAAGCTTGTAGTTGGGAATATTTTGGATTGTTCTTTCTGGAATAGGGTAATTTTTTTTTCAGACAGATTTTTTTTTCAGTGATGGCAACAAATGGGAATGTTTAAACATCCCTTGTCAGTGAATTTATTTTAAAATAATTAGATAAAATCCTAAAATTCTCATTCTTTTCCTACAGAGGCCCCACAAAGCTACAGCTGAAGAAATGACCAAGTATCACAGTGATGAATACATCAAATTTCTGCGCTCAATAAGACCAGATAACATGTCTGAGTATAGCAAGCAGATGCAAAGATGTGAGTTTGGATGTTAAAAGTAGATGTTAATATTATTTCATAAAATTCCTCTGACTATTTTTATAGAGACTTTATATATGTATGAGGTTATGTAAAGCTCATGGTTATATAAAGCTTATCTTAAATGATCACTTATAAGTATGATAGGAATATTCATTATCCCCACTCTATTTTATCAGTGCATATTAAGATATTGATATTTATGGAAAGAAGTGCCTAGACAGAGCAATTTTTTTATTTTGCTTCAATTAATTTTCAATGCTGGTTAAAAGCAAATGATAGTAACAATGACAGCTAACATTTATGTAACACTTTAAGTTTGCAAAGCAGTTTATATGCAATATTTCATTTGAGCCTAATAGCAACCCTGTAAGATAGATACCTCAAATTTTGGTCTCCCCATTTTACAGATGGGAAAACTTACTCAGATGTTAAAAGTTACTTTCTGTGGGTAAAATGAAGTAATTATAGTCTGTAGTCACTTGGAAATGATTAAAATGACATTTCATATGTCTTAACTGTGCTATGATCATTTTTGTATCAATGAACAAAAGATTGACTTAGGATTGTAAAAATAATGTAACTAGAAAATGCCAGGATTTCAAAATTGAGTTATTGGCTTTTATGTGTTGACTGTAGAGACTCTGATATAACCAATTTTTAATGGGAAACTAGCATATGTAGTTGGGCTTTTGAATACTAACAAATTAATGTGATCTTGAAACCTACTGTCCTTATCCTTCAATGGTAAAAACAAAAAAATCAGGATAATAATAGTACCTACCTGACAGGGGTGTTATGAGAGTCAAATGAGATATTTGTAAAACCCTTAGCATAGTGCCTGATACACAACAGTCACTTAATAAATGCTTGTTCCCTTATCCCTTATAGCCATTTTTGTATGTATGGATCTTTTGCTGGAAGTAACCTATTTGGAGGGGAATGCCTAGTTCTCTAGTAGTAGAATTTCTGGGTCAACTCATATAAATAATATAGGTTTTTTGTAATTTTTTTTGCACAATTACCACCTTGTGTGCTCCAACTCATAGTGATTTAGTGCTACTTGTATTCTCATAGCTCTTCCAACAATGTTTTCCCATCTTTTAGCTCTAGTTTGAAGGGTATGATTTCTATCTTAGCTTTGTTGTAATTTTCATTTCTCTGATTATTAGTGATTTTTGAACATTTTTTCAGGTGGTTGTGGATAGCTTATATTTCTTCTTTTGAAAACTATTCTTTTTCTTTGAACACTTGAATATTGTGGAATGTTTCTTAGTTTATAGTTTTATAGATTTGTGTCAGGTTTTTATGTATTTTGGATGTCAGATATTTGTCAGTTATTTAATGCAAAGGAATTTTTTTCCTACTCCATAACTTATTATAGCTGAATGGATTTCATTTGGACATTAGTTTTACATCATCTTGATTGTCTGTTTTGTCATATGTGATCTCTTCTATCTTGTGTCTAGTTTTGAATTTTTCCCCTTCCTTCTCATTCTTTCCTACTTTGAAAATGGTTTAGCTTTTTATTTAGATCAGTTGTACATTTGGATTTATTGTGGTAGATCATATAGATGTTGCTCATAATCTGTTTCAGCAGAGTGCTTTCCAGTTTTCTGAGCATTTCTTGTTGAATGAGGATTCTACTGCTTAGTAATTAGTATTCTTGGATTTATGAAATACTGGGTTACTGTGTTCATTTGTATAGGAGTGTTATTTAACTATTCTCTTCCACTGTGTTTGTGTGTGTGTGTGTGTGTGTGTGTGTAAGTAATAACCATTACCAGATCATTTTTTATTATTATTGTTATAATGTGGCTTGTGAAATCTGTTAATCTAAAGCCTCTATCATTCCTGCCTTTTTTCCAGTATGTCTCTTGAAAAATAAATTTTGATATTTTTGTCTAGTGCTATGAAGTAGTATATCCTGGCCTCTCATTTAGGCTATTAAAGTATCTGTTCTCTTCCTTTTCTGGCTACCAGTGTTTCCTTTATTCACATAAAATGCTTCCATGTACACATTTTATTGCATAATTTTATTTCTCAAAAATCTCATTACTTCCTGAATGAAGCCTTGACTTCTTAGCTAGATGTGCAAGGCCCTCCACAGTCTGGTTCTAATCTACCTTTCCAGTTTCTCACTATTTCCTCTCAAACTGTACTACTTGATAAATATGAAAACTTTCTTTCTCTTACTTCTGGCTGTTGAAATACTGCTCCTACAAGAAATCTTCCCTGAAGCAAACCTTCAGACACAAATAATCTTTCTTCTTTGGAATCTTATAACACTTTGTATTTTTTTATGCATTTGTGCACCTGCCTTATACTAACTCTGAAGTTCCTTCATGGCAATGACTAACTTTAGTCCTTTATACATACAAGGTGTTTGATATTTGTGGTGTTTAATTTTTTTTTTTTTTTTGCACTGGTACACATTAGGTTAAATTAGACTTGGTCCTTCTTTCACAGTTAATGTTGGAGAAGATTGTCCTGTATTTGATGGGCTTTTTGAGTTCTGCCAGCTTTCAACTGGTGGCTCTGTTGGTAAGTAATCTTGATTTAATCCTACATCCACAAATGGGTTTAAAATTTAAGTCTTCCCATTTTTGGCCAAACCATTTTTTTTGTTTGTTTGTTTGTTTTAGAAAGGCAATTGGGGTTAAGCGACTTGCCCAGGGTCACACAGCTAGTAAGTGTCAAGTGTTTGGTCTGAGGCTGGATTTGAACTCAGGTCCTCCTGACTTCAGGGCCAGTGCTTTATCCACTGCGCCACCTAGCTGCCCAAGTCTTCCCATTTTTAAAAACACCTGGTAGACACTAAAATACTTATTGACTTGAAAGTCAAGACCTAAAAATTCCCTATCTTTTGTGTAATGAAGAATTATGCTAAATTCTTCCTTATTTTAACCATTGTTAGAACTAACAGCATATTCCCTTTTTTAATTTCTCTTTCTCAGCTGGGGCAGTAAAATTAAACAGACAGCAGACTGACATGGCTGTTAACTGGGCTGGAGGTCTTCATCATGCAAAGAAATCAGAAGCATCAGGTTTCTGTTATGTTAATGATATTGTCCTTGCCATCCTAGAGTTGCTAAAGTAAGTTCATTCAGACATGAATGGTTACTTTTTTGATACTGTAACTATGTTGACAATCCCACATATTAATGAAAATACTCCCCCACTGGCAAAAGATAATTTTAAAATTATTTTATTCTGCTTGAGGCTTGACTTTCATCCATTTAATCCAACATTAAGACAATTTTTCGAAGAGAAGAAAATGTTAAATGTGCAAAACTCAAAATTAATGTCCTGTCATGATTTTCCATTATAAGAAGGTAAGAAATTCTCACTTACCATTGGGAACAAACATTAAAGGTCTCTTTGAAGACTTAAGAAAGGTGAGAAGGGAATAGACTTTCACCAAGGAGTCAGTGAGTAATTATATTGAATGACCAACAAGTTTTGAGGGGTTTCTCCTTGTTTTATAGGTCATAATCAGGATCTGATACTTTCTTTTCATTGTTGCCATTCTCTGTATGGTTTTAGAGTTTCTTCACCTTTGACTTCATCCTTAATGGGTTAGAAGGGGGTAGGGCAGCTAATAGCATCCAATATTTCTCCTCACCACTTCTTAGATTTATTGTAATTGTGTTTCATGATCAGAAAGTCTTTCCTTATAATTGTTGGAAACACTAGCAGGTATTATGTTATATTAAAACAAAAATGTGCAGAAGACTAGTACTCTTTGCCTGAATTTTACACAAAGAGATTAAAGAAATAGCACCCGGAGTGTAAGAAGAAAAAATTACCACGTTAACAGCTAAAAATATTCATTGAATTGAATGTTAGTTTTTTTATAATTCAAATGATCATTGATTGTCACTCCAAATAACTTTTGGTAGTTTAGTGAATTTGGCAAATGCTTTCTTTCTAAACAAATATCTTTATAATTAATTTAGTTTAAGAACTAATATTGTCTGTGCTTATTTTACTGTAAATATTTATTTCCTATAAATCTTTTTGTAGGTACCATCAGAGAGTCCTATACATTGATATTGATATCCATCATGGTGATGGTGTTGAGGAAGCATTTTATACAACAGACCGTGTAATGACTGTATCATTCCACAAATATGGTGAATACTTTCCTGGCACAGGAGATTTGAGGGTAAGACTACTAAGCATTTTAATTTGTTTTTCCTCATGGGGAATTGTAGAATTCATATGTGAGCTAATTCTGTGTACTATATACAATATGCTTAGAGCTTTCTGTGACCTAGACTTGAATTTTAATTTTCCTCAACAAAATCTTATTAAGCATCTGCAATTTTAAGAGATACTTGTCTTTGTGAACCACTGTATAACTGATGTAGCCATAAGGTATTGTTAGTTGAATTAAAATGAATATAATTAACTGTTTGTAATTTTCAGTTTCTCTGAAACAGGTAATTCTTGAATTTTGCTTGTTTCTGTGGATGGGGTGAATATTGATATTTTCTTACTAAATCTGTTTAATATAGGGTCCTTCAGCCAATTCTCATATGTGCCATACCTTGGTATCCAATTTGAATCTATAAATATCATAGAAATATATTGTCATTCACAGTTTCATTAACCACAAAGGAGAATCCAGTTAATTGTAAAAGGAAAAAGATGTTGTTTTGTTTTTAATAAGACTTTAGTCCAGTTTCTGCATATTCGGAACACTGCACTGATTGGTAGCTTTAGCTGTCCCATGCACCTCTCTTATGTTGTCAACTGTCTATAAAGACTGTTTACTATTTACTTTTACACTACAAAATATATACTATAAATTTTGGCTGCCCAATAATTGTGTTCCATTTTTAATACTGAAAGGTACTTTAGTGTAGTGGAAAGAACACTTGATTTGGAATTGAGAACTGGATTCAAATTCTAGCTCCTGCTACTTATAATCTGGGTGACTTTGCTTACTCAAAAGTTAATTGGTTAGTGAGTAATTAACCATTCAAGATTCAAGTTTTTGTGGCTGTGTGTGTGTGTGTGTGTGTGTGTGTGTGTGTGTATGTGTGTAGGTGCACGCACGTGCACAAAATAAAGGCATTGGAACTGGTTTCTCTCTCATCACTTAGAATCCTGAATCCTTTGACCTAATTAGTGTCACTACAATGTAATGTTTTTATGGCACTAGGTAACTTTAAGTGGGACAGAACATTACATTCAGGGTAAAGTATACTTTGTTACTCAAGCAAATTTGTTCCTGTGTTTTCCTTGGCACTAATTTATGAAGAAAGAAACTATTCCTTCAGAAAGCATTTTTTTTAGTAGCAGAGCATGTACGGTGATTATTATTATTTTTTTTTTTTTGGTTGTGGGGTAATGAGCCTGCATCTATGATTTCATTGGTATAAAGAGCTCTCTCCACCAATGAAGGTCAGCAGTTCTGCAATTTATAGTCTTAGGGAGGTTTCAGAGTCACTGCCTTTCTCTTAGGAATAAATAGACAAAATGAGTATACAGGCCTTCAAGAAAGCTTATATTTTATCAGAAGTTTAATGGTAATACCTAAATCCTTTTAACTATACAACAACTGTTCCTAAAAATTCAACTTTGTCTGCAGTTATATCTATGAAGTTTGCTGTCAGCATGCCGTTTGTTTTATGCCAGTACTAATTAATTTTCCTTAAGTTTGTTTATCAAAATAGATTTAGTGATAAGTTGAAATGTCTTTATTACAGTAATTTAATAAAATTACATTTCGGTATGTTTTTTTCCTTTTGATGTTAATAAAAGGTAGCATTTAAATATCACATCTTTTTTTCTACCAACTTTGTCTAAAACAGAAATTTGCCATAGAAGCCCTGTCTGTATAAATAGAAATAACTTAAAGAAACTGGATTATATAAATGTTCTAACAAAAATCATGTGATTTTTAAAACTAAATAGACATGGTTTTCCTATTAAATTATGATCTTTGATTTTTTTATTTACTAATGAAACTTTAAATCGCTTTCTTCATTATTCACTGGAATAGCAATAATGAAAAACTCAGGTTTATTTCTAACATTTTAAAAGAAAATTTTCTAGTAACTGTGTTAAAATTACTTTTTTCCTCTTTTGATTCCTTAAATTGTCATCATTAATTAATATTTTACCTTCTTTTTTCCTGTATGCATATCATTCATCTATTAAACATCCCAGTGTTCTAGACTGTTTACTTTTGTTAACAACTCATTTGGTCCTGCTCAGTTTTAGACAGAAAATGAATGTATCAAAATATTTTTAATATAGCAGACTAAATTAGGCTATTAGTCTATTAAGTGAGATTTTCTACTTTGATATAACTAAGCCATTGAGCTATTTGGTAAGAAAGAGAAATAGAGGATATTTTTAATAGGCAGGAATTGACCTATAATGGAAGTATCATGAAGGCAGGTGATATATTACAGTTTTTATATTTGTATCTCCAGTACCTTCTACAGAGTAAGTGTTTAAAATATTTGTTGAATTTAATAAACTTTAAGATAAACCTGTTCTGTTTCCCTCTTTTCATAACTTTGAACTATTTAAATGGCATATTTGGGACTCAGAATAATCACTGTACAGTGTTTCCTTCTAAATGATAGTTGCGTAAACAAGTCATTGGAAGTCTTCAATCTAAAATATTTCTTTCTAGTTATGATTTTTACTTTATCTGTCCACAAGATGGTACTGTTTCTTTAACCCAAAAGTCATTAATGCTGCATTATTGAGAATATTGAAAGCTTATCTTCTTTTAAAAGGCAACTTAGATAGTTGTTATTCCATATATATGCTCATGAGAAATTTTGGATTTATTATAATTTAAATATTTCATAGTTAGCAGTAAAATTAATAGGATTTTTGCTATCATTGAAAGGTTTTTTTTTTAAACTTGAATGGTATTTTTCACATTTTATGTAGAATTGTAGGGTTGTGTAGGTGACTTTAAAATATTTTGTTTGATATAAAATTGACTTGACCATGTCTGCATTATTAATATGCCACTGATACTCTTAGATTTATTAGTATCCTTTTTCTTTTCCTATGTTAATAGACCAGGAAAAAATATTTGGAGATTATCTGAAATGCCATCTTTTCTCAGAACAAAATCAGAAAACCAAAGAAGAAATAGAATCTTTTTAAGTGGAGTATATGGGAACTAATTATTTTCTCCCCTTTTCCCTCTGTCCCAACCCTGCCATGTTATTGTCCAGGGAACAACCAGTCTCCCAGTTACTCATACTCACAACCTAGATTTCATCCTCAACTCCTCACTCTTTCTCATATGTATTGTTACCAACATATACAGTCAGTTGCTAAGTCCAGTTGATTCTGCCTTACCAAAATTTTTCATATAGACTCCCTTCTTTCCTCTGACACTGCCATTACCCTAGTACAGACCGTCATCTCCTTACACTGGGACCATTGCAGTAGCCTGCTAGTTGGTCTCCTTGCCTCAGGTTTCTCCCAACTCCAGTCTGTCCTCTTCTGTGCTGTCAAATTGCTCTTCCTAAAGATTGTCTTTTCTGACCATGTCAATCTCCTATTCATTAAACTCCATTGGTTCTCTTTTACCTCCAGGATCAAATAGAAAATTTTGTTTGACTTTTAAACCCCTTAATAACATGACCCCTTCCTACCTTTCCGTTCTTCTTATACCTTACTCCCCTCCAAATACTTTACCATCCATAAATACCACCTTGCTGTTCCTTGTACAAGACATGCAATCTCCAGCTCCTCACTCTATGTATTTTAAATGACTATCCCCCCTGCCTAGAATTCTCTTCTTCCCCATTTGTGCCTTCTGGCTTCTCTGGCTTCTTTCAAGCAATTTTCAGTGAAAATCCTGCCTCTATAAGATGCCTTTCCCAGTTCTCATTCATACTGGTGCCTTTGCTCTGTTGATTATCTCCAGTTTATCCTATCTGGATCTTGTTTGTACGTAGATATTTGTGTGTTATCTCCACCATTGGACTATGAGCTTTTTGAGAACAGGATCTACTTTTTTGAGTTAAATTCCAAATGTAGTAAGTTTTTTGTCCTAAGAATGAAGAGTTCAGTTTGGGCTAGGTCAGCGTGTTTGATAGAGTTTATTTCAGCACGTAGAGGATTATCAGTCCATGTTTCAAATGTAATACCATCAAAATAAAAATAACTTTAGAAGTGTTCTGAATTTTTTCTTTTCTCTTTCCCAAGAAGTTAACAGAATTTTACTCTACTCTGTCTTAGTAAAGTACTTCCTTTAGCATGGGGAAGTTTATAAGATTATGGCCTCTGCTTTCTTCTTCACTGTCAACTTAGCCAAGAAAGCTTGTAATCTTTCAGTGGCATCCGTAATGAGGATTTCAGTAACTTGAATTGAAAGAGTTATCTCATTTTTTTGGTTAAAAATATCTACCAGGAAGACAATTAATGAATAAAACCCTTTCTTTCAAAGTGTTTCCAAGAGCGAGTTTTCTTTTTCTTTCAGCTGCCCTTGGTTCAAATGAAGCACATCGAGACTTGTCCTCTTGCAGAGTAGTGAACTTTCATGTAGTAGAATGACACTGCATTTTCTGCTCCCATTTCTAGACAGATTCTTTTTTAAATAATGATGATTCAAAGACCTGCTTCTGATAAATTTGATGACTTTTGTGGATGTTAACAAAACTTCAAGGCTGTTAGAAGAGTCTGTTGGCAGTGCATGTTGGTGTTAAAAACAGTGAACAACAGCAACATATGAGGAGCTTCCCTTATTTGCTAAAGTAGCATAACCAGATGTATTACCAAGGTTTGAAGAAATTCCATCTGTGCAAACTGCACAAAACTTTTCATTCCGAAGTTTTATTTGGCCAAAAAAAAAACCAAAACTTTTTTTTTTCTTCATTATTTCGAGAACATTAATGGACTTTGTAGTTCCCAAAAGGGATTCACAAAGTGTTACTAGCTATTTTCGTTGAGAAGTGTTTGTACTTTCATCCATACTTACATACTGAAGGGGGCAGTGGCAAAACTGCCTCAGTGACCTGCTTTACAATATTAAAAGAAATATCAACTATTCTGTAATTTATCACATTATTTGACATTGAAACCATTCCCAGGTTTTTCCTTTATTATATTCCACAAACCAACTTGACCCTTTCCCATGCTCATGGCTTTACTAAAATCTCTTCAGTGATGTGGGGTTCTTTCGTTTGGCAATCTGGTAAGCAACTTAATAGGACTCTTAAAAGTTGTTGTGAAAAAGCAAATAAAAATTTTGCAAATGCCTCACTTTTTCAAATTGAGCTTTCTTCACATAAAAAGAGCCTGACATCTTTAGGTGCATTTTTAAGGTGACCTGATATGAGATACCCTTTCAATTTTGCTGGCTTCATACTAACATTGGCAAGAATTGTTGCTGCAACACTGTTCATTATGCAACAAATCATGCAACAAAAATGTTCATTAATGCAAGTGAAACCATATTAATATGTGGTTGTTCATTTTTTTCATTTTGTTCAGTATTTCATTTTATTTTATCATTTTTACTTAAACTGAGATCGTAGATTTTTTAAGAGAGGGAAAGCCTTAGCAATAAGGGTGACCAGGAAAGTCTTCTTGCCGAGGGTAGGATTTTAGCTGTGACCTAAAGGAAGTCAGATAAGCCAGGAGGCATAGATGAAGAAGGAAAGAATTCCAGGAATAGGGGAGAGCCACTGAAAATGCAGTATTGGGAGTTAGAGATGGCGTGTCTTGATCAACAAAAGAGTCTAGTGTCATTGTGTCACAGAATAATATGGAGAGGGGGTAAGGTATAAGATTGGACAGGTAGATTTAAAAGGGCTTTAAAAGCCAAATAGAGAATTTTATTTTTCTTTCTAGAAGTAATAGGGAGTCATTGGAGTTGAACGGATAAGTGAGTGTCATGGTCAGAAAGGATGATTTTTTTTTCTTCATAATCTGTTTATGTACGTTTATGAAGTAAAGATATTCACAAACAGAATGGTGTGTGTGTAGTGTTAGTGTATTTATTATTCTATGAAAAATAATACACATTTAAAAATTCTCAAGAAAACTGAATTATGTCTGAAATGAGAACCATTATTTCTAGGAAGGCACAAAAAAATCCAGATTCCAAGAATAATACAATTCCTGAGTTATTACGCCATTAGAATTGTTAAAGCTTTAGATAAATTATAAGGCTGGCCTTATTTTACTTGTCATAAAAAGTAATTGGATATCGTGTACTTTACTTAACATTCTGGTAACTGTTGTCTCCAGGACACTCTATTTCTAGCTTTATTAAAATACCTAGCTCTCAATCTTTCCTCCAACTCCTGCCTTTATACTAGGGAAATTCAACATATGTATTGATACTCCCTCAAGCATCCTAACTTCCTACTTCCTTAACTTAATCCTTTACCCTACCTTAGCTTCACACAGAGATGGTCCTACCCTTGACATCGTCATCGCCATCACCAACAAGTGTTCTATTACAGGGCTTCTTAAATTTTTTCCGCTCATGACCTGTTTTTGCCCAAGAAATTTTTACGCAGTCCCGGGTATATAGGTATATAAAATTGGTATACAAATCAAACACTGATAATAAATCATAAAAAATTTTATTTTAAAACAATTCTTGGTATACATATAATTTTACCATTTATTAAAGATGAAAGCAAATTTGCATACTAGTAAGATGGTTGTGCTTGTTTATTTTTACATAAAGAATTAAATCTTGGCGAAATAGTTGATACTGCAGGACATAGAGCATCTTCAACATTTTACAGAGTTGATCAATATTTTGATGTTATAATTGTCAATTCTGAGAATGCCACTTTGTATAAATATGTAGAACAAAATGGCAAAAGTATGTTTAGGGCCATTTCAGAAATTGTTGGAAATTCTGCTCTAATCCCAAGGCAAAATTCATTTAATGATTTTGTGCATACAGTAAAAACACTGGAATTCATAACATACATTGGTCTCAAATCTGAGCCAAGGTGTTTCTGGCAGTGTTTGTTGGTATTATGTGGCCTGATGGCAAGCACAGTGCAAGGTGCATATGTGTGTTCAGAACCAAGGCTGCAGTAAAGTTGCATGATGCATGCTGCCAGAAACACCTCGTATTCATTACACGTTTGATTTTGAGTTAATTTTTGGTTGTGTGTTCAGAAACCTTTTATTATTGCCAAATTTTTCATGTCCCCCACATTCAGTTACATGACCTCATATGGGGTCATGACCTATAGTTTAAGAAGAGCTGTTCTACACTTCCTAGTTCATGAACTCTAAAATTCCTGCTTACTCATAGGATGCACTGTACCTTCTCTCTTATTAATATGCTTTTGAAGGAAGCTGAAAAAAATCATGAAGTCTTATTTACTTGGTTCCACAAATTTATATTGCATAATCACATCTGAGGGCATTTGCTAAAAGCTCTCTCTTTTCATCTTATATTATTCAGATGCCTTTCTTCACTATCTCTCCCTTCATCCCTATCTCATATGAAGAGGTAGCCCTTCTCTTAGACAAGACAAACTCTTTTACAGGGAAAAGTAGACCCCAGTGCATCCTATGTTCTCCAGCACTTTGCCGCTTTTCTCTTCCCCCACTATCTCACTAATCTTGAATCTCCCTGTACTCATTTTTCCTTCAGTGCATACAAACACACCTAAGTCTACCCTGTCCTCAAAAAACTTATGTCATCTGTCTAACCTCACTACTATCATCTTCTATACCTCCTCTCTTTCTGAGAAACCTATTTGTAGTCAGTACCTTTCCTTCCTTTCTTCTCAGATCTCTACAGTCTAGCTTCCAGCTCTATCCTTCAACAAAACTGCATTCTGTAAAGTTACCAATGATCTCTTAATCTCTTGCCAAATCTAGTGGCCTTTTCTTAATCCTCATTTTCTTTGATTTTTCTGTCATTTTTGGCACTGCTGATAACCCTCTTTTCCTTGATAATTTTTTGTCTTTTAAGTTTTCCCTTCACCGCTCTCTCCTGGCTCTCTTCCTCCTTGTCTAACTGCTGCTTCTCAGTCTTCTTTGCTGGATCTTTATCCAGGTTACTTCCACTCAACATGAGTCCCTCAAGACTCTGTCCTGGGCCTGCTTTACCTTTTATATTATTTTGTTTGGTGATGTCATCAGCTCCATTTACCCAGCCCTAACCTCCATTCTCACATTTTACTGCCTATGGGACATCTCTGTAATTGGATTTCTTAAATTCGGCATGTCCAGAATTGATCTCCTCTATCCCCATAATCCTTCCCTCTATTCTTCCTAACTTCCCTATTACTGTTACAAGTATCAATTCCCCCTACTTACCCAATGTAGCAAATGAGGTGTCATCCTCAACTCATCATGTTACTACCCATATCTTATCCTTTGCCACACCCTATCACTTCTGACTTCCAGCATCTCTCACGAATACCCCCTTCTTTACTCGTAAGCCTTACAAGATGGTACATAATCTGTATCATAGCCTAATTTGTTAGCAATAAAAAAAAATACTTTAAATTCATGGAGACAGCTTTGTGGTATAGGAGCTTGAGTGTTGGACTTGAAATCAGGAAGAATTGAGTTCAGTTCCTTCCTCAGGCAAATCACTTAACCTCTCTCCACCTTGGTTTCTTCAACTATAAAATGAGAATAGTTATAGCACTACCTATAGTTATATAACTACTATGGTTATTGTATCAAATGAAATGACACATGTAAGGTCTCTTGCAACCTTAAAGCACTATATTAATGATAGCCATTATTAAATAACAGACTTCAACAGTTGCTTCAACTATCAGACATGTTGGAACTTTATTTGTCTATACTCATAGCCTAGACCCTATCTGGGCTACAAAACGCCAACATTGCCTTATGTACAATTATAATATTCACTTGAACTGCCAAGTTTTAAAAAATTTTAACAAACAATGAAAACAACATATCTCCTTCCACGTTTGGATCTACAGTTGTAGGTAGGGAATACTAGAAAACAGCTTGGATGTCTAGGTCACCAGTATGAGAGTACATGACTTCATTTGGTGCTAAATGGCTACTTGGTGCAGAGTTGCCTTATAGTTGGCCAGCTATGATTTCTTCTGGCAACAAAGTCAGAGATATTCATAATACTAACTCTGGCTTGTTGCCTTCAGTGATAAGTAGTAAATGCCGAATTTCACCTAAATGTTTTTTGTCTGTCATTAATAATCAATTACCAAGTGTTTGGGTGCATACTACTGTTTTCCTTTTCATGTCCAATGTGTACTGATACTTGTTAGTAGTTATGTCAGATTTTAGATTTGTCACTTTGCCTTTTAAATAAACGTTGTGAGATTTTTAACAAATTAGTTTGATTGACAAATTTTATAGTATTTGTTATGAAAAATTCTCTAAGTTTTAATTAATTATGCATTTTTAGGACATCGGTGCAGGAAAAGGCAAGTACTATGCTGTCAACTTTCCAATGAGAGATGGTATAGATGATGAGTCTTATGGGCAGATATTTAAACCAGTAAGTATTATATTTGCCAGATCCCATCCATTTTTTTTACTATGTGTTGAAAGGAATTAACCTTTGTTATCTTGTTTCCATGTAGATAATATCAAAAGTGATGGAGATGTATCAGCCTAGTGCAGTAGTGTTGCAGTGTGGTGCTGACTCATTATCTGGTGACAGACTTGGTTGTTTCAATCTTACCGTCAAAGGTAACTACTTTAAAATGTGATATTCCCAGATCAGGATGGGAGGGGAGTTTTCAAAAATTATTATTCTTTAACTTAATTATGTCTTCTTTGACAAGAATTTAAACCTCAGGTGTGCGCGCACACACACAGTGTGTGTGTGTATGTGTGTGTGTGTGTGTGTATATCTGGTCTTTTTTTGCATGTTGTCATTTAAAAAATTAATTTATTATTAGTCTTTCACTAAACTCACTTGGCCACAGTGTAGAGATAATTGTTGGGTTGTTAAAGACAATGCCAATGTAATATAGTCTTTGGCAGGTCCTGCCACCCTAGAAAGGATTTGAGTGAGTTTTGGTCTCTCTTCTGAGGTCTACCTTAACTGAACTTGAAAGATGCTCATCCTCAAATTGGCTGCAGAAGAGTGAATTTTTCAGCCACAGCATCTCTCAAAGACTGTTGTTGGAGGGTACAGTTTTAATGCCAGCACTGTCTTAGTTCAGTTTCAAATTGTGGAATACAAGAGTCACTCATAAGTCATTAAACATTTAAATAAAGGAAGTTTACTTTGCCCTAACACAGCAACGGTATGCAACAAAGATACAGTGACACTTATCTTCAGTTTTGGTTGACCTGTTCTCTCTCACCTCCTCATGGAAACACATCTGATCAGCAGGTCGTCAGGGTCTGATCCTAGGCACCTGTCAAGACTAAGAAGCCTAGATTCCACGGGGCTTGGACTTTATGGTGTCATTAATTGAACGTGAATCTGCAGCATGGAAGCCAGGGCCAGTCAAGTCCCAGGACAGCTTTTGTCCTGTACCTACCCCAGGAGAGGGGTAGAAGTTGGGGGTGGGAGGAAAAGGAAACTACATCAGAGAAGCAGGAATTAATCACCTAGGCTAATCAAGTTACTTTTGTCTTTTTTAAGTAATGCCTCCTCATGTTTTGGGTGGCAGAAAAAAAGCTGTCAGGAAAACATAACTGCTTGGTGCAGGGTCTTAAGGATCTTCTAGAGGACTTTCTATTCAATGTTTATAAGACTTTTGCTGCACAGTACTAAAGGGGGAAAGGGAAAAGAGGAAGAAAAAAATGAAACAAAAAGATGAAGGTAAACAAAAGTCAGAAATGCTAGTCCTTTCCTCCTTCCTTCAGAAGGACTAAATCTCAAGTTTTAAAGTCTGGTTCATATTGTGGGTGCCACCAAGTTAACTCAGGGATCCCCTTTGTACCAGGTAATTATGAGTCCATCATTGTTATAGTGGTAGTATGCTATTAGAAAGCAAGGATCCTCCCAACAATTCTACCCCTTTGTCTCCCAGGCCCTTTCTGGGAATGAGTTGCCCAAAACTTCCCAGAGGAAAGGAAGCCTGCCAGTTGAGGGGAACATAAGCTGCTTCTCAAGGGGCTATGGTACCCTCTGAGGAGGCAAGAACTGAGACCCTGCACTGGGAAAAGAAGGGCTAGGGAAGGTTAACTGGAACGAAGTCCCAAAACAGTCCATTCTTATCAGGTAAGTCTTCTGGAGACTGGATCCCAAAAACCACTGGACCAGAAAGTGCTTTTTCCTAGGATATCATTGGTTTGTCACAAAACATTGTTTGTGGGAGGTTGGACACCTCACTGTAGCAATCAAACGCATCATGATTCAACTGTTAATTATCAGAAGCAAACCTCTTGCCCCTGAGATGAGAGAGTGCCATTTTGCTAATTGGAGACAAGTTGAGTGTCACTTGAGCTGTGCTCCAGCTTGCCTGGTTGGGCAGTAATAACTACCTTGTTTTCAGTTAAAGGGATCCTGTCATCCTTTGCCCAGCATAGCTTGGCATTACCACCTCAATGTTCGACTTGGCGTTAGACCCATTCCCTAACCACTGCTTCTCTTATAGCAGCTCCACACTGGTGGTTTAGCATATGATGTGTCTGATGGGTGTTGACATGCTCCACAAATAGCTGTATGCTTTGGGAAGCATGAGCATAATTCTTCCTCTGTTTCCAGATTCAAAGGGGAGAGCTTTTGATTGTCCAGTCCTGTGCATTCCAGGCTCCAGACAACTTGGCCAGACCTATGGCCACCACTCAGGAGTCAGTATAGATGAAGATCTTCTTCCCTACTGAATGAACTTACAAGGATCCTCATTATCTGGGGTATCCCCTGTTACCAGATTAGGGGCTGCAGAAATCAGTTTGCACATGTCTCTCGTAGCAGATAGAGCCATTGATCAACCAGGCAGAAGGGTTTTCCTCCTGTCTTTGTAGGAAAAAGGCCCATTAGGCCAGTGGAGGAGGCACAGTTCCCAGGATCTGAAGTGGAGACTATGCTTGTCTCTGGTATAGTCATAACCTACTTATGAAGGGCATTCACACCTTAGGGCCTCAAACAAGTATAATTCCTAACGTACCATTTCCCATTTAGCACTAGAAGTCTCTGTACTATAACTGTCCTGTTAAGAGGTACCATCTTGCATCACAGTTAGAGACTAGAAAGAAGCAAGCAGCTGCCTTTCAAAAGTGATATAATGACCAGCTGCCCTAGAAAACTTGGTGCTCCAGAAGCCCAGTTGTCATTTATTCTGGACACCTTTTGGTTTCCACTAAAGGTTCTGCTCATCCTAATCTGTGTGGACAGAGACCTCCAGAAGCATGAGCCTTACACAGCCATAAGGACCCAAACTATAAGATAGCTTGCTTTACATCTTTCTAGGGCTATGGTCTGCTCTGTGATTCATTTGAAAGAGTCAGATACGTAGGTGGTTGCAAATAGGGGCCTTCAAGATAATACAGGTAGAAAATATAGGTTCTACAAAATTTGAAAAGTCCATCAGTCTTTGGCTTCCTTTTTAGTTCATGTAAAAACAAGTGTCCATAGCTTATTCCAGACTCTACCTGAAATCCTCTGGTTTTTCCCTACCTACTGTATTCCTCAAAATTCGACTAAGGAGTCTGGACCATGGATTACCTTATGGTTCATTCTCACCCCCATCCCTATCCTTCTTTATGGGCCTCCTGCCACAGTGGGCTTCATCTGACCCTATTAACATTATGTCATCAATGTAGTGGTATTCACCAATTCCCTTTCAGATGTCTTTAGGTCTCTGCTCATCATAATGTGGTAGTATGAGGGAGGGTCAAGGAAATCCTGGGGAAGGATGGTGAAATTATATTGGACTCCTTTCCAGGTGAAAGCAAATCACTCTTGACTAATTTCAGCCACGGAAATAGAGAAAAGAGCATTGGCAAAGTTGATTGCCCCATGTCAGTCATCGTGGTCCTGGGTAACTCATCTACAACATTGACAGGGTCAGGAACAGCTGTAGAAATAGGCTTGACAACTTTTCAGCTCCCTATCCACTCTAAGCTACCAGGTGCCATCTACCTTCCTCTCAGATGACACAGGGTTGTATAAGGGGGAGCTGGTATAATGAAGTGATCCAGCTTCCTTCATCTCTTTCGCCTCTATCTGCCCCCTTGGGGACCAGGTACTGTGTGGTGTTAACTGCATGGGAGCAGGTAACTCTAAACATTTTCTTTTGGCTTTACCCAGATTAACATGCTTATATATTACTGAAAGGATTCGAACAGGAACTGAACCTATGATCTGTCCTCTGTAGCCTTCCCTGAATGATCTAATTGGGGCAAGGGCTTTAGAGGGTACCTCAGGGTGGGACTGAAGGACCCTTGGTGCCTGGTTTCTTAATTTCCTTGAATAGTTTTGTTATCACCACCTTGGGCTGGCTGTTGCTTATAAACCTCATGTTTCAAGAGCCTTTCCCAAGCTCCCTCCTGAGGATGGTGTTATTTCTTCTGCCTACCTCGCAGGAAGATGACCTCTGATATCTCCTCAGTTCACAAAGTTCCTATTTAAACTTGACAGTATTTGCTGAAGCCCCAACTGTCCCAACCTACTCCTCAAGTTTTACCAGTTGATCAGCCCATTCTTGTGTGGTTATGTGTCTGGGGAGACCCATAGCTAAAATGTCTGAAGCCTTCAAGCAAGGCTCCATCGAGAAAGTGGGTTCTACTTGCACCTGAGACAGGCTGGGTATAGCGTTCCAGGGACTCCTAGGTTTCTCTTTGAACTTCTACAAATATCCCAGTATATTGGTGGAAAAGGTTTTCTCACTACCAGCTCCCGTAAGTTGAGTTCCTGGATGGGCACTGACAAATCATCAATCTTCATTCCCATCAGGAGAGATCTGTTTAATTGATCAGCCACCAGTTGACCCCTGGCTTTCACTGCATGCTTGGAAGCTGAAAATGCAGTCTCTAGCTGCTTCAGTACTCCATTCTAGTTCACTTTCAGTCTTCTTAGGCTGGTAGTTCAAGTTACATAGAGCAGTCAACAGAAGTCAGGGAATTCTGGGCTTGATTTACCCATCCTGGACAATATTCTTCAGCACCCATTGAACTAATCCTTTGCATAAGCAGGACTTGCTTACTAAACCGTGCAGAAATACATCATCAGGAGGGCTCTTGAAACAGGGAGCCACGTAATGGTTTAGTCACCCTATCCTCCTCTATATTTGCAGTACTCTTCTCCCAATTTAACCTAAACTCATGTCAAATTGCTGAAACTGTCGTATACCAAAGGTGCTCCTCTAACACTAGCACTCTTAGTTCAGGTTAAATTTGGGGGGCTTGTAAACCATTGAACACTTAACAAAAGTTTACTTTGCCTTAACACAACAAAGTTATGTAATTACTGTCCTCACAGAAATGCATCTGAATCAGTTGGGTATGGTTTTAGCCTCCCACCTAAGTTTGAGAGGTATAGATTACACGTGGCTAAAATTTTTTATGCCCTTAGATTACCAGGAATCTGCATCATGGAAGCTGGGGCCAATCACATTTAGAAAGCTTTATCTCATAGGTAAAGCCTCCCTATATGGGTAGGAGGAAAAGAAACTGCCTCAGGGAAACTGGGCCTATCACAGAGACCTAAATATAGAAGGATTGCAATCTGAATCAGTGGAAAGATTATCCACATAGATTCCTGAATTTTTTGCATCCATAAAGCAATCCAG